GGTGACAACCAGCATCTTGAATTGTACCTAGAAGCAAATCAGCAACCAATGCAGCTCCTGCAGGAGAGGTGACACATGTGCACACTGGGGTCTGCACAAAACCATGTGGGCTGCTGCATTTTGCACCAACTGGAGCTTCTGGATGCTCTTTAAGGGCAGCCCCATGTAGAGTGTGTTGCAATAATCAAGAAGGGAAGTGACTAGGGCATGAGTGACTGTGAGTAGGGACTGTTGGTCCAAGAAAGGGTGTAACTGGTGCACAATCCGCAATTGCGCAAAGGCCCTCCTGGCCACAACTGCCACCTGCTTTTTGAGCAGGAGTTGTGAGCAGGAAAACCCCTAGATAAACACACAGGGTCTGTTTGGGATAGTGCCACCCCATCCAAGACCAAAGGTGGCAATTCTCCCCGAGCCAACAAATCCCAAACCCAGAGCCACTCAGTCTTGCAAGGGTTTACTTTCAACCCATTGCTCCCCATCCTGTCCCTAACAGCCTCCAGGCACTGTGAGAGGGAGGACACAGCAATACTTAACTGAGCACGGGCCAAGACATACAGCTGAGTATCATCAGCATATTGATGATACCTCAGTCCATGGTGACAGATAAGCTCACCTAGTGGCTTCATATAAATGTTGAACAGGAGCGGAGAGAGTACTGAGCCCTGCGGAACCCTGTAAAGCAGTGGGCAAGGGCTGGATCTCTCCCCTCCTATCAATACTGACTGAGAGCGGCCTCAGAGGAAGGAAGTGAACCTAGACAGAACAAGGACTTCCACTCCCATCCTTCAAAGCCACCCCAGGAGAATCCCACGGTCAATGGTTTCAAAAGCTGCTGAGAGGTCAAGTAGAGCAAGGATGGATGCACCCCCATCCCGCTCCCGCCAGAGATCATCCTAAAGTGTGACCAATCCTGTTTCTGTCCCAAATCCAAGCCTGAATCTTGACTGGTAGGGGTCGAGATAATCCGTTTCATCCAGAAACCTCTGGAGCTGCTGTGCAACCACCTTGTCAACAACCTTCCCCCAAAAGGGAAGATTGGAGACAGGTCAGAAATTATCCAACTGGATGGAGTCCAGCAATGATTTGTTAAGAAGAGGGTGGACCACAGCCTCCTTAAAATGCTGATGCATCATCCCTTCCTGTAGAGAAGTATTAATCACCACCAGAGTCCACCCGCCTGTCACTTCCTGGGAAGCTTTCACAAGCCAGGAGGGACATGGGTCCAAAACACAAGTGCTCCCTAGGATCCTGTCCACTTCCTCAGGAACAACAGAGTCAAACTGTTCCCAGATAACAGGACAAGAGCTTGCCTCAGGAGCTTCCACCAGACCAGCAACCACACCGGCATCTTACTGGGAACGAAGTCGAGCGATTTTGTCTTCCAGAAAATCCATAAATTCCTCGGCACACCCCTTCAGGTGGACCTCAATCTCCTTCTTTCCTAGGAGGAGATAGCTCACCTTAAAGAGGGTCACTGGGCAATTATCTGCAGATTATCTGCAGACTAATTAGTGTGAAGGAGTTACACTTTGCCACATGAATCACCACAAAATACGACTTAGTAGCAGCTCATACCCATGTTTGATGGAGTTCATCTCCTGTCTTCCTCCAGGGGTACTCTAGATGTCTCCTCATGCATTTCATTCCTCTCAGTTCCTCTGTATACCACGGGGCACAGAGAAGTCAACAAGGGGGAAGAGATTGCAAGGTGCAATCCTATCCAGAGCCTCAGTCATTTCTTATTCCAGGCAGTGACTAAGAGCCTGGCTGGACTGCAGCTGCCTTCGGGTTTGGACAGCAGTGATGCCGGGGAGCTTATGGAACCGGTCCCCAGCCTTTGCATGCACAGAAGACAAGAACAATTGAGAAAGCAGGGTCGACTCAGGAGCAAAGCCACACCTTGGAGATGATTGGCCCCTTGCATAGGACATAAAAGAGGAGAGAAATGGATGTGAGTTTTTGCATCTGCCAATTAGTTCTCTGGCCAATTCCAAGTGTGATAAAGTGCGTGTTTCTAAACATTCCCCTGAAAGACTGTTTGTGAAGGCTGGATGTCTGTGAATGAACATAATTCACAGCTGTGGAAATAAAAGAGGTTTTACCGAGATTAAGGTTGTGTTTTTTTTAAAACAAATTTTATTGATTTTACAAACAAACAAACAAAACAAAACATCATTAAACATTAAAAACATAAAACCTCTTTCCATTGTAGATCCTTACAAGGCAGGTGACATATTGCTTTATATCACGTACTTATAATTTATCCCATTTCCATATAAACACGTAAATTCCCTTTACCAAATTCCACATTGTTTCTCTTTAATCATTATTCAATCATATTTCCTTTCTGATTTATCTGCTATCCAGTCATCAACTTTATATTTTCCTCTGGCTTGTTTATAATTATTCTCATCTAGTCTTCCTCCGAGGTTTTACTATTTAATTCTTAATTAAACACACACACATAAGACATAGACATAAAAACATAAAACTTTCTTCTAGAAAGTAACTTGGCCCCAGATTACCACTTTTTGTATGGACTTCAATTGAATTCATGCTCTTCTTATATACCATTACCCATCTTATTTACCATTCTATATCTATTATATAACTCCTCTCCACTTTTGCCTCCTCTTAATTCTGTTTTATATATTTAATCTTGCTTTAAAGAAAAATATTTTTATATCTTTTGTCCATTTCTCCATTTACATCTGTCTCATTTCCAATTTAAAAAAGAATAGTTTCCCCCTGGAATCACTAATCGGAGTATGATGCCTTTCTATCATTCCCCTAAGTTAAAATTTAAAATAACACCTAAATCCCAATCAGATTCTGCTTAGTACATTTTACTATTTCAGAAACCAATACTACAATAATAAATCCATAACAATCAACACATTAATCCATTAAACTCTATATTCAAACTAATATTTTAAACATTCCCTTTAGTATTTTATTAAAACTTATTATCATTCATTATTAAACCTTTTAAAGTTATACCTTGATATTTTAGTCTTTTATTAGATCTTAAAAAGTTCTGATTATCTACTTATAATACAAATACCACTATTACAATACTCATGTGTACTTTGCAGAATCCCCCTTTTTTTAAAAAAAAAAAATCCCATATATTACCCATTATCCCTAAAAAAAATTTCCTTTTCTCCATCTTGTCTTATACCTTTGTAACTTTTTCCCCCCTTTTCCCTTTCCTTCTTAGCCCGCCTAAACTTTTTACCCCCTCCTCTCCAAACCTCTGCCTTCTTGATTTCCCCTTTCTGTTGCATTCCTCTTTCCTTTTGCTTTCTAGCATTCTGTTGTTTTTGCATCTTCTTTTTCTCTTTCATAAACATTTTTTTGTTTAAGTCCTTCCTTTTCGCTCCTCTCTTTCTCCTTTCTTTCTTAGTCACACCATTTAGTTCATTAAAAATGGCTTCTTCTTCCTCGGCTTCTTCCAGCTGTTGTTTAATTTGCTGACACACGACAAGCGCCATATCTAAAAAACAAAGGGCTTCTCCCATAACATCTTTGCCTTCTTTCTTTATTTTTAAATATTGTTTTTTTAATTCATCAAAATATAGAGCCATTTTGAACTGTTTCTTCTTCTCTTTCTGTATCCTCTTCTTATTATTAAGCCAATCAATTATTTCCAAACTTAAAACAGTTCCCAAAAGTCCCAAAATCCCACAGTCATCAAACAGTCCAGGCAGAGTACAAGCTTCTTCTTTTTACAGTTTCTCTTCTAGGAGTGTAGTCAAATTAGGGAAAGCAGAAACGTCCAATCTGTGCTTTAAATCTTCCTTAGAATTAATTTCTATTCTCTTTATCTTCAAGGCATCTCCTCCAGCAAAATCTTAGAGTAAAGATTTGTTTTCCCAAGCCTCTCCCTTCCCACTTATAACAAAGGAGTTTAGGTTTTACCTTCTATCAAAAGGCTGTTTTCCCTTGTCCATTTGTTAATTCCATAAGGGAGGAGAGTAACTTCCCCTTTTCGTCACTTTTCTTCGCAGCTGAAAACATCAATCGGGAACATTATAGCTTCCAAGTCATTACTTTCCCAGGTGTTAAATATGTCCTTAAGGTCCCAGTTCGACCAAGAAAAAACTTTCTTTAAAAAAAAAACTCCTTCTCCCTCCTGCGCATTCTTTATCCAATTGCCGGCTTCTTTATGGTGGCCATAAAAGACCACCGCTGCACCGTCTTGAGAGAAGGGGGTTATTGCCGGCTGGGGGGGGGTTGCGACACCCCTCATCCCCGTCCGGATCCCCCCTTTCTTCAGCTGCCCCAACAGGGCAGCCTTAGCCTCCAAATCCATCAGGATCGGAGGCACCAAGGCGGCTAGCACAGCAGGGATCGCAGAGAAGGCGAATCCCTGCTGTCACCGAAGCCGACAAACCGGAAGTAAAGATTAAGGTTGTGTTTTATGCTTTAGAAGGGAGCCTAGGTCAGAATAGCCTGCCAGTTTAACTAATAAATTGGTGGCCTTTAAAAAATACTTTCAATGAGAAAGTTAAAGGTTATCTGGGTTGCAGGTTGCAGTTGTTGTTTCTCTGTATTGTACTTTTATTGGCAGATATAGCCTTACCTATAAATGAAAGCAAGTGAAGTTTGCTAATGTTAGAATTGTGAACGAAAAGGCTAACCATAGTTGCTAAAGTTGGTGACAATTTAAGTGTAAAGATTTGCTATCGCAATGTTGACCTTAGAACACGTTTAAAGTACAAAACCTCTATTCATGGTTTGTTGAGCTTTGGAAGGGTGTTTTTTAGGATTTACCACAAAATGTTGATTTCAGTATATGTGATCTGACCTCTATATTCCTTAATAGTTGTGATAATTTTTTCCACTTTATATTAATTATAAATAATTAAATAAAATATTTTTATCAATTTCTGGTTGGACATTCAAATACATTAAAATTGACCATCATTTTGATTTCTAACTTTCAATACCTTTTTTTAATGGTTGTAGTAATAAAAATACCTTTCCTTGCTTATCAGAATCTAACAAAAGAAGCCAGACCTCTGAAAATCCTAGTGCACTGATCCACATCTTGATCCATTTCACCAAAGTTCTAAAGTAAGTATATGCAAACTACAAAATACAAAGTGTAAATGTAATTGGAAACTTATGAATAAATATAAGATGATTTGTACAAGGCTTTTAGAATCTTCAATACATTTCCAAAATATAAAATGTATCAAGTTGCATGCAGATATCATTAAGTAACAATACATTGAACAAGTTGAAGCTTGCTACCACGGAGAAGTGAGAATTAATATCATTATGATAAACCGTTTCAAAGTAGCTAAAGCATTCATGTTGCATATAAAGTAAATGGGCAGAATTGAACGATAGGCTCAGATGTAAGAGAGGATTTTGACTAACCTGTGGAAAAAAGATTAGAATAATGTTGGGGACCAGAGGCTAAAATATATTAAGAATATGAAGAATGTTTGCTGGAATTGGGTATGTCTAGTTTAATGAAAAGGACTAGAGGTGACATGATAGCAATGTTCCAATATCTCAAGGGTTACTACAAAGAAGAGGGAGTCAAGCTATTCTCCAAAGCATCAGAGGACAAGACAAGAAGCAATGGATGGAAACAGATCATATTTATACAAATATCATTTAGCTAAATGGGTAAACAGACCATGTATGATGTAAATCTCCTTTAAAAAAAACTGTTCCTGAATTATACAGTTTATTTCATGAGCCATAATTTTTGAGATTTGATGAATCACTGTGCTTTTTAAGTAGAACAGAAGAAGCAGTATCACAAGACCATAATTACTTTTGTAAAAAAAATTTTTAATAGGAAACCTTATAAAGTAGACATTAGCTCACAATGTCCATAGTCTTTATAAACCTATGACTATTGTCTGGTGAGAGTTTTGGAAGAAACATTTATTTTTCTAAGAAAATATTTCTTGTATTCTATATCAGAAAGAGAAAGAAAGAGAGGGAAGTAGAATATGTTGGAAACAAAATACAGATAATTTTATTTTCAGATGCATTTCCTGCTTAATTTTTTGAAGTCAGCCAAAATAACAAGTAAATTCAATGCACCTTATTCCAAATAAGTGACATATGCTTTACATTTTATTTAAAAAACCCATCTTTTGTAAATTAAAACTGAAGAAGATTACAAATAATAACAGAAAACATTATCCTGGTTGATAAAGAGAAATGCTGTTATGACACATTTTAATTGGCTGTAAAACCAATAAATTGGGCTATTTTCCTATAATGGTATGCAAGAAACAGATTACCAGTTGAGTTCCAGGAGTTAAATTACAATAATTTCTTTGGCTTCCTCTAAAGGCATTACCATATTGTCACAGCTTCTCCTTCTTAATTCCCGAAAAACAAATTAAAAACTATTTAATAGCTATTTATATTATATATAATATAAAGAACACAAGAACTCAATCTCGAAGAACACAAGAACTCAATCAAAAAAGAAGAACCAACCTCTTCCCTGGTCCAGCACCTCAAAGCCACAGGACATGAGATTGACTTTAAAAATACCAGAACTATCGCCAAAACTGAACACTTCAACAACAGAATAATCAGAGAAGCCATAGAGATAGAAAAACGCCCAACACAGCATGAATAAACGAGATGATACCTCCTGCCTACCAGCCATTTGGGAACCCGCCCTCATTAACAAACGAGTACCTAACATGAAGAATGACACCAGACCCACACCCACGAGGGCCACACAAATGCCACCACCACACTTCCACGTAGAAAGCAGACTCACACCCACACAGATGATGAGACATGATCACAGACCAGAAGCCGTACCGCAGCTGCATCACTACCTACTTCAAACCCCTCCAAACCATACATGAAGCGAACTGACACCCACCATGAAGATGTGGCACGAACACAAAGCCAAACAACAGGACCACAGCTCACCAGCTCAAATCCCCCGGCAACTAAGACTAGCCTGAGCACAGCCAAGCCCCCACCTGAACAGAACACACCCCCAGCCAATCAGAACAGAGCCAACCCCCCAACCAATCAGATCACAGCCAGGCTCCCAATCAATGAGAACACACCCCCACCCAATCAGAACACAGCCAAACCCCCACCCAATCAAGTCACACCCCCACTGTCAGTTAAAAGGAAGAAGCAGCTGCAAGCTCACATTACTCCGAGAAGCACAAAGCCAAAGACACAAGCCTGAAGATGATGAATGAGATTTTGTCAAAACATCACCAAAATGCTTCCAATTTTATGCGTGAGAAAAACCGAATAACCAAAGATCCACATAAAAATATATATATATTTGCTTTCTTAAGTTTTCACGGGTACTTACATGTATTCCCACGTCATTATAGTTGTGCTTTTAAAGTTGTAGCAACGTTTCG